GTTTCACTCATAGCAGGAGCATAAAGGACCAGGGGTAATAATAATAATAATAATGATGATGAACAACCATATACCAGAGACATTTTATGGGGGTGGAGTGGGGAATGGGGTAAAAAATGGGGGGGAGGGGAAGTGCCTGGACTATGGGGATGGCAAACACGCCATGAGTGGTGTAACAGTTTTGTATTTTACTACATAATGGTCATAAGGGAAAACGAACAGAAAGGCAGGCGGCGAGCAGAGGAGTAGGAGGCGAGCTGCGGAGCTCGAGGAGCACAGGGGGCAGAGCCACGTTACTTCACCTGCTGCTAGCAGCCACCTTGGAAAGAAACAGACGGCAGCGCCCAGGTGGGCTTGTCCACGATTATTAAAATTGACAGCTACAAAATGGGTCAGTTAATGTGTCTGTTCTTCTGTGTTATCTTTTCTTCGAAAGTTCACGGCAGAGAAAAGTGCCTAACAGCCCCGGAAGAAAGGGAGGGGTGGCCTGGGTGAAGGCTTATGGAGAAAGTGCTAATGGAGAAAGTAGTAACTACCAGAAACTGATTCCCGCACAACAGACCCTTAATACTTAAGTGGAAAGTACAAGCTTTAAGCTACCACAGTCCTAGAGTACAAAAAAGGGAGACAGTGTTAAAAATCTGACTTAATTCCTTGCTGCCAGGACAAACTCCTGGTGCCTCATCTCATTAACCTTGGTACTAAGTAACAGCCCCCAAAAGGCTTCTGCGTCTTTCTGGTTGTCCCCACCCAGACTGCCCATTTCAAGGAGGCCTGAGTGTGTGTAGTGGGTAAAACACCAGACGTCTTCCTGTCAGATAGCATCCCGTCTGTGCTTCCATGTTTTCATCTGTAAAAGTGGGGACAATAGTAGTAGCTAGCCACAAAATCTTTGTGAACATTAAACTAAATCTATACAGACAGCTAAGAAGAAGGTCCGGCGTGTGGTGAGCACTCATGACAAGGTGGCCAGTGAGGGTTACTCTTCAGGCTTAATCTGGCTCATGTCCGCACAGGAGTGGGAAGCGGAGGGTGGGGGAGTCAGGAGGGACCCAGGCACACACTGCTCTCAGTTTCCTCATGCTTGGTCTCAGAGATCTTGTTGCTATAAAAACGTGGGATATACAGATTTTGAGTAAGACCGTTGTAGGACAGAGGGGCTCTGGCGAAGGGTGCTGCCAACGACGCAAAGGTAATGCTGACAGCTGCGACCCAGCCCGTGGCTCTGGCACCCGCAGCTCCTTCCTGGCGAACCGCTTCACCTGAGGCTGGAGCTTAGAAATACTACAAAAATACTGGATGGGTTTCCCCAACCAAACACAGCCCCATAACCATGCAGTATACTTCCTCCAGTCCTGCACGAAGAGTTTTAATCTGAATTAAAGTTTCCTGACTAGCTGTGCCTCCTCCTTTATGAGTCACTGTGATTTTGTTCAGATTTTACAGAACGCTGGCATGTTTCTCCTTGATTTGTATGTTTTCTTTGTAGAGCAAAGACATAAGCCTCCCATCAGTATGCACTTCCATGTTTTTCTGGTTTACCGCTTACTCTATTTTTTTCCACTTAGAATGACTTTCGCTCACTTGCACTTGGAGCTATGCCACCTGGCCTGTATGGAGAGATTTCATAAGGAACTACTCACTGAAACCTGTTGCTTTTTTCATGGAAAGGGCATTTTTGAAGATAATTTAAGTCACATCCGTTTCTTCTCTGTGAGATCCCACAACAGAATGTGCTTTCTGATATTAGTACCAGGAATAATTATGGCTCTCCTGAGCGGCAGGTCACCTTCCCATTATGAGCACAGTGACTAATGGGACTGACAGATCTTTACACTGGCTCCCAGAACAGAGTCAAGTCAGCTGTATAGCCCACCAGTGGCCAATGCAAGCACTTTAAAAAGCACACGTTTTTCTATACTTAACTTCATTCCTGGCTTATTTTATGCCCCCTACTCTCCTGTTCCTTTTGTTTCAATGTTCCTTATTCATTTATTTAAATACTTTAAAATAGTTATTAAAATGATGATGTTTACAAGCACTGCATACCCAGTTTGAAAAAATTGGAAGGTGCAGAAGGACACAGGTTTCCCCTACCATCTACAAGTAGAATGTTCCTAATTAGCAGGATTTGGTAGGTACTTTTAGGGGGGATGCTCAAAAATTTTTTCCCATATAAATTAGTGCTAATAGCACCCCCAGAATCAAAAAACAACCCTCCAAATCATACCAAATAGGAAAGTCTACTTTTGGATAGTGAGGGACACCTGTAAAACAAAAGTAGCAGGTTCCAACAAACACCATCAGCACACAAAGAACTAACACAGTCCTACTTTAAGGGGCTGACAAGCTAGTAGTGGGCAAAAAGACGCAAGCACATAATTTCCAATAAGTGGGCAAATGTCACTTAGAGGGAAATGTGCTATGGACATGCAAAGGCAGGGTTTCGAGTTCAGACAGAGGGGCTCCCGGGAGGGCCTCTGTGGGGAGTGGTCAGACGCCGGAGGGAAAAGCCGACCAGTAGAGTGCGGGACACACAGGGGGTCCAAGTGATGAAAAGATATATACAGCAGGCCGAGGAGTCTGAACTGGATCCTGAGGGCCTGAAAGCCTACTGCAGGCTTTTAAATGCTATCATTAGATTTGCTCTCTGCAAAGAAATGTTCAGTAGTAGCATGCAGGACAGACTGATAGGGGTTTAAAAAACACCGAACCAGTCGTCCTTGCTATGTGATCAGAATGATAAGGACCTGAATGATTTTGCACATTAAAAAAGCTTCCATTTTTATTATATTTTCTAGTCATCATTAATGTGTAAGAATGCTATATGAATTTCTGTACAGTTCAATAAATTTAACTTCTTGAGTACAGGTTGCTAGAATTATTTTTAAATCACAAAAAATGTAATTTTTCTCCTCTTTTTGACCAAAGCACTCTTCTTTTTTTAAAAAAAATGTATTTATTTATGCCTACAAGAACTAGGGTACAGGCCAGAGGTGCAGGGGCTGAGAGGATACACTAGAGACAGAGTGGGGAGCAGAACAGGCTGACAAAGTACACTGCTGAGGGGAGCAGCAGGCAGGTCAGGAGAGATTTGCCATGCCATGTGGGTCACCCCCTTGTCTGGGAATCAAAGTTGGTGTTGGAATCAAAGTCAGTGCCGCAGTGGCTGCAGACAGCTCCATAGTGCTGTGCTTTAACCCACTGTACCCCAAGGGAGGGTCCGACCAGAGCACGCTTAAAAAAAAACAAACAAAAAACGTAATCATCTTAAACTGTAAAATTTTAAGTTATAAATTGAAAAATGGCCTGAAAAGCCAAAATAGAGATTTGGGAAATGACTGAAAGTTTTAAAGATGTTACTATTATGGCTAGAAGCAACGTAAGAATGATGAGAGGATTCGTGGCTTAGGACATGCTGGGATGGTGGGCATGCACCTGGTCGGCAGTGTGGCACTGCAAGCTGGCCGCAGCCACTGCTTTGATCCTCCACCAGAGCCAACCCACATGGCGCGGCAGACTTCTCCTGTCTCACCTGCTGCTCCCCTCAGCAGTGTACTTCGTTGATCTGCTGTTGCTGTTCTGCTCCCCATTCTGTCTCTGGTGAATCCTCTCACTGCCCCTGCACCTCTGGCCTGTACCCAGTTCTGTATGCATAAATAAATAAATCTTAAAAAAAAAAAAAAAAAGAACTGCCTTCTGTACCATAGCCCAGTTGCTCAGACGGGCTATGCAGTTAACAGTAGGGGAAATGGAAAATGGAAAGGCTACACATTTACTCCAGCTGTGGAAGGAAGATAAATTTCTGACTATTGTGAAAGAAAGGAGGATAGTATCAGAGACAAACTGAATAGGCATGAATATATAAAAATAAAATAGTTTTGCCTGATGAAATATAGAAAAGGGGAAGTAATAGAGGAGGAAGAAAATAATTGCCATAGCTAACTAGCATGTGCACGTGAGTAGAAATCTCACAAATATAAAATGTGTAAGGCCTATAACCATATTTCATTGAATAAAATGGTCAAGTGATCAAAAGAGACAGATGACTGGTTTACACATAAAGGAAATAGAAATAGTAAATTAACATGTGGGATACTGCACAGAATATAAAATGAAAGAAATGGAAGAACATCTTAGGGAATCATTATGTACTCGCTAAGGAAATGACAAAGAAAGCTAGAACCCAATATAAAGTTTGTGGAGTGCCAATAGGGTGGTCAACAACCCCCCTCTGGAAAGCCAAGTTACAGACGCAGCAATAGCTCTACGTGCTACATGCATGTATGTGTAAACAAGCACGTTGATCTCTAAGTCCAGCTGGAGGAAAAAAGGGGGGCAATATTTATTTAAAGATATTCAGCATAGATCTATACTAGGGCAAAAATTAAAATAATCCCTAAACCTAAAAATATAGAAAGGTTAAGTCATATGATAGCCGCAAGATATAACTTTTTAAAAACACACACAGGGGCATAATTAGAAGTGCAAAGGGAAGAACTCAAACAATGCTTTGTAAAACACGCAGACTCCTCTCTGTGACTAAGCCAGCCGCAGACAGAATGGACATTTTCCTAGATTCTCAGTGGCCTGGGTGCAATCTGGAAGACAGGCTGGTACTACTCGGCTAACTGCAGGATGCTACCTCCTTCCTTTAACCTGACATGACACGCAGGCCCCTGCACCCTCCAGTATGTGCCACATGGTACTATACACTCACCTTACTGCTTAGGTCAGTGGAAAGGAAACAACTGCTGGAATAATGCACTTACTGTGAGCGTGGCGAGCGACATGAAGCCAATTAGGTTATTCCACACTTTATCGATGTCCTTTAGCAACTGCTGGAGTTTCTCACTGCACACGGCAGTAGCTTTTATTCCCAGCTCCACACGTTTAGTTACTCTGTATACCTCAACAACACCTGACAGAGTGAGAGAACAGAGTTAGCTGCTAGAGGTGCAGAGGGTGATGAGCAAGACAAGAGATTACTACTTGCTGATGTCTTAGTTGGAACTAAGGGCTACATATGGACAGAGGGAACATACCGTTCCTTGGCACTGATCCCTCTGATAAAAACACAGGTTTTTAGGGGGCTTCCTTGTGGCGCAGGGGTTAAAGCCTCCAGCCACTGCAGCATGAGTTTGAACCCCAGCCAGGGAGCTGATCCACATGGTCCAGCAGACCTCTCCTGTCTCACCTGTTACTACCCTCAGCAGTGTATTTCTCTGGATCTGCCTATTTTGCTCCCCACTCTGCTTGTGGTGAGTCCTCTCACCTGCACCTCTGGCCTACACCCCAGTTCTTGTACACATAACATAAAAATAAATCTTTACAACAAAACAAAACCTGGACTCTAGCGCCACACTGCTTGGGTTCAAATCCCAGCTCTGACACTTACTAGCTGTATAACCTAGGCCAAGACATGTATCCTCTCTGTGCCTCAGTTTCCCCATCTGTCAAACTGGGATAGGATTAAATGGTTAATACTGTAAAAAGTTAAGAACAGTGCCTGTGGAAGAGTAGGTATTACACAAGTACCAGCTGTTTGTTGTTTTCTAGCTTATGTAGGAGCTCCTCTGTTTGAATTTGGGCAACCCCATTAAAATGACTGAAAATGGGAACTTTAAAAGTTTAAAATAAACTGAATGTCACTATCATCACAAAGTAATGCAGAATATCTCGTTTTTGTGAATGTCCAAGGATTCACGAATTCTGACTTCACGTCTGTGTACCTTTTATACGCTTAATAGGACATTGGAAAGTTCTTTCCCTGTAACCTCTACATTGTGGCTGAGCTCTTCAAGCAAGATGCCAAGTATCTTTTGCTTTCTAAAGACAGCTACCAGACACACCCCTTACCTCCTAAGGAGAGGAGTGATGGTGGTAGTTTGGGGATGGGGACTCTGGGTCTTTAGAGAGGCCCATGGCTATCATCATGTGTAACAGCATCGTGGCTTTCTGCTCCCTTCCCAGGCAGATGGCAGGAATTACTGCCCACCATAGTGAAGTGAGGGAGCATCTTAGACAATCTTTGGAAGATACTAGGAAACCTACTAGAAAGGAAAGACAAACACCCCATTACCTGGGGACCATTTGCTTATGCAGCAGGACTGTGTCTGTGTGAGCAGGAAAGAGGAACCAGAGGGGGACAGCAGAAGTAACGCTGAGAGCACATCCTTACTTTTCCTCACTCGCTGCTCATTCAGCAAATAAATCTGAGTGACTACAACATTCCAGGTATTAGTCTAGGTACTGGAGATTCATGTGAACCAAAAGACCAAAATCTTTGACACTTTCTTTTCCTTAGTGGAGGAGAAGAGTCTAAGCAAACACAAAGTGTTTAAATAGTGAAAGTGGTATGACTAGGGAGAAAAACCAAGCAAGGAAAAGGGAAAGGAAGTACCGGCAGAAAAGGGAGGTGCAAAGGAGGCCTCAGTTTAGATGGTGACATTGGAGTAAAGATCTGAACAACATGGGGCTTTAGCTTGGCTGCCCTTGAGCCATGGGAGGGAAGCCAACACTGAATTAGACAGCCTGAGGTTTCACGTTAGAGTGGGACGTTCTGGCAGCTGAGGTGGCCGGGAAGTTAAGGAATCCGTGATGTCCTTAGTTCAGACTCTGATGAAGCAGTGACACTAATTTTACATTTTGTAGGTCTGTGTATAACAACTGGGATACTTAGTCACAAAGACCTTAAATAATTGTCACTATCTGTGACTTTAAGCATCTTATCTACAAATGCAGATGCTACTTAGTTAAGTCATATGTAGCTTGAGGGATTAAAATACTTGCAAGGGAACATTGAAAATACAGCGGTGTTGTGATTGTGAATAAGCGACATATAAAAGAACATACCTAATAAATATTCCATGCCTTGAGCTGACTGAATTACTTCTGTGCAAACAGAACTACTACTGATTCCATTTAAGGTGTCATTTGCCTTTTTAATGACCTATAAGAAATAAAATCACATCACCTTATATAATCAAGAAAAGCCAATGAAAAGCAATTTACCATTAGAAAACCCAACAGCAAAGCCAGGTGGGAAAAGGCACAACCAGCTGATGTCTGCACATGATTATGCTGAAACAAATCTGACAACTTAGTTTTGATCTTCAAGGAGGAAGTCTCCAATTCTTTGGAAAAGACAGGGGTCCTTGGGCTAACCCACCCTCCTGATGTAGGCAGAGCTAGCTAGCTGTATCATCGTTAAGTCTCACACACAATGACGGCAAGGGCGCGGCCGACGTGGGCGCCACCCTGGCCATCAGAAGTGTGACGGATGCGGTGCAGAAGATGGTCACTCTAGAACCTCACTTTGCACAAAAACATAAAGGGAGAGAGCCCCTCAACTCTGCCTCTGTCCATTCAAATGAACTGAAGCAGCAGCAAAATGACCCAAAAGACTCATATACTAGAATACTCACATCGAGTGCACTTCTCAGGCATCTCTGCCACTCGTATGCATATCTCTCGCTCTCCTGTGAATTTTATAAAAAGAACTGGGTTAATTGGGCATGCCGGGAATCGTGTATTTATGACTTCTGTCAATTTGAAGAGCTAAGGAAGATTTTCCTTTTTATCAAAATCACTCTAGTTCAAACAATTCATCGTTAGATCCCACTAGTTAAAATCTGTAACAAGGGCCCTCCCTGTGGTGGAAGGGATTAAAGTGAGGCACTGTGAAGCTCTCCACAGCTACTGCAGCACAAGTCCAATCCCCGGCCAGGGAGGTGACCCACGTGGCACAGAAGACCTCTCCTGTCCAGCTGCTTCCCTCAGCAGTTTATTCCAGTCAATCTGCCTGTCCTGCTCCCCACTCCATCTCTGGTGAATCCTCTCACCTCACTCCACCCCACAACTTTGGCCTGTACCCCAGTTCTTGTATGCATAAATAAATCTTTTTTTTTTAAAGATTTGTTCCATTAACAGTGATGGCACATGGGTGATTTGGTGATGGGAGGCCCACAGGGATTACAATTGAGATGGAAAAAGGCATAAAATTAAAAAATAAACTATTATAAAAAAAAAATTTGTTCCATAACAAACTAAGAACTTCAGCAGTGACCCTCCTGACCTAGGTGTCTAGCACAAGAGCAGCACCAAAGCCCAGCTCTTCACTTGGCAGTAACGATGTGTGTATGTGTATGTGCACTGTGTGATGAGGAAAGTGTAAAAGGGAGATTCAGCGTGGCTGTCGGGAAGCAAGCATGGAGTAGGATGCAGCAAGCAGAGAGACCCAGAACACTGCCCCCTCTTCTCTACTGTGACATTTTAAGAGTCATTAAGATGACAAGGTCTAAGTGCTCAAAAAGAATTCCTCAAAGCATTTCCTCCTTGTGAAGTCCCTTGACCCACTTTTAGTGGGTGACATGTAGTGGGGGCATTTTCACTCAGGGTTAATGTCACCATTCTCTCATTTTAACAGCTTATTTTATGCATGGTGCTTTGTGATTTCCCACTACTCATTACCCTCAGGTGAAAACTGAAAGCATTTTACCTTTGGGCCCTCAGCGCTCAGCTAGTCTTCTATTTGCCCCTGTGGAAAAGCACCCCACTCACCTCCACCTCGCCGGTCAGATCTTTGTACTTGTCGCGGATGACAGGCAGAGCCGGCTTCTCACTAAGCGTGTTGGAACGGTCTCTGAAGGGTTGCTCCAAAGCGGGAGAAGGAGAAGAACGGCTTATTTCTTTATCACCAAGGCTCAAACTCCTCTTGTGCGATCCTGGGAGAAATGGATGGCACAAGCAAAGGTTTTGATTACTCACCTTGCTTTAGGCAGAGGCTTTTCCTTGCTGACATCACCCTCTTCTTTAGATGTTTGTCAAGCCAGAAGCACAATCCTCACCCCTTCTGTCTAGAAGGCCACATGCTAAATCCTTTCAACTCTTCTTTCTTGCTTGGCTTTCCTGTCTTTAATTTTCTCCACTGCTCTTCTCTGGTCACATTCTCCCATAATTCTACATTCAGAATCACTGAAGTCTAGAGGACAAAAGTGCCCTTCTCAATATCAATGCAGAAGAGTTGTATTATTTTTCTCGGCATCATAAATTTGCCCTGAGCTTCTACATACTCCCTGAATCTAACAGAAAGCAGTGATTCCTCTATTAGGATGGGATTAAAGAAGAAGTGGCAAACTCAGATGTCTTCAGACAACAGGCAGGTAAAGTAAATGACTGAGGTCAGTTGGAGAAAGGAAGACGGGAGACTGTGACCTTGCGGAGATCATCCCCCATATACTGCTACTCAGCTCCAGTTGATTGTCAAGAACTAGAATTCAGGCCTAGTGTAGCCAGATAACACTTTTCAAAATAGCTAGGAATCCGTACTGGCAGTTGCTTCACATATTTTTTTGTGGGTCAATCAAAACAGGTCTGCAGACTGGATCTAGATCCACAGCTACCCTGTGTAGCGTTTGGATTAAAAGAAAACAATCCAGGGTCCCCTCTGGTGGGACAGCACTATGAAGCTACTGCAGCCACTGCAGCACGAGTTCAATCCACCACCAGGGAGGTGACCCACATGGTGTGCAGACCTCTCCTGTCCAGCTAGCTGCTCCCCTCAGCAGTTTATTTCAGTCAATCCGCCTGTTCTGCTCCCCACTCCCTCTCTGGTGAATCCTCTTACCTACTCCACACCTCTGGCCTATACCAGTTCTGTACGCATAATTATGGTGGCACAAAGGGTTAAAGTGCAGCACTGTAAGCTAGCCACAGCCACTTCAGTGTGAGTTCGATCCCCAGCCCCGGAGATGCCACAGGGCACAGCAGACCTCTCCTGACCCACCCACTGCTCCCCTCAGCAGTGTACTTTGTCAGTCTGCCTGTTCTGCTCCCCACTCTGTCATTGTGAATCCTCTCACTGTCCCTGAACTTCTGGCTTGTACCCAAGTTCTGTATGAATAAATCTTAAAAAAAAAAAAAAAAAAAAAAACTCTTGAAAAGAAATAGTCCATAGACAATAAACACAAGCAAAGCTGACTTGCCTACAAACGGATTGAGTCCCTTTCCCCAGCCCTTTTAACACAATGCACCTCTGACTAACTACAAATTGTGGGCCATGTTTGCCTTTAGCCCCAAAGCAGTTACCCAAGAGAAGCTTAATTTCAGTTCAGTCTCAGGGAAACTTCTCTGAGAGCTATCTCTTACAGGCAGTAATTCCAAATGTCAGAAAAACTACTTCCTGCAAAACCAGGGCCCAACATTTATTCTTAAAAAGGACCATCTCGGTGGAAAGCACTGTGACAGCAAAATCTATGTGAAAGCCACTCACCTTGGACAGAAAGGTCAAAAGTTGCCAGCTCACTTTTGATCATTTCTTCACTGGATTTCATTTTGCTTTGTGAATTGGCCACTAAAAAGTCAAATTTGCTGATTTTGGGCTTCTCACTCTGAAACTCTCCAAAGTCATCTAAACATTCCTTGGGGGCATCGAAAGAAGCGCTGCTGGAAGCTGGGCTTGCACACACGACTTCTTGGTTCTGATCAGCAGTAGGCAGGTCCTGCCTGGTGAAATCTTTGCTCTCACATTCCTTTTGCTCAGTGGTCTGAGGTGTGGCATCTTTAAAACTAGAGAATGCTGGGAAGGCGGCCTCTGGGAGGGCATCTTCACTTGCAAAAGCTGTTACCTTGGAGAGAGAGGTCATGGTGATGTTTTCAGAACTGCCAAATGAAGTCTCTTTCTTTTGAAGAACTGAGGCAACAGAGGAGGATCCGCTTCCTGCTGAGAGGACAAATGGAGAGAGTTTTCTGCCCTGAGATGCATCATCCCTGTCTGACCAGTCATAGCTTGTAAGTGTGCTCACTGCAAAATTGCTACCGTAGGTTCCAAAAGCAGCATATTTTAAGTCCTCTATATCTGAAAGGGAAATAAGACCCCACAATTAGAGGTGAGCTCACAATGTAGGCAAAATGCCCTAACCTCTGCAAATGTCCAGCATACTTGACTAGTTTTATGTTATGATGGAGTTAACTAAATTTAGAGTAGATATTAAGTTGGACTGTAAAATGTGATCTTTAAAACCCACATTATTCTTAAGTTGACATTCATGTTCAGCTACAAAGAAATTTACTAAAAAAGATAGAAGGCTCATCTACCAACATATATATTCTTTAAAAAAAGAAATTATTTATTTATACAGAGCTGGGGAACAGGCCAGAGGTGCAGGGGCAATGAGAGGCTTCACTAGAGACAGAGCAGGGAGCAGAACAGGCAGATCGACAAAGTACACTGCTGAAGGAAGCAGTGGGCGGGTCAGGAGAGGTCTGCCGGGCCATATGGTCACCTCTGGGCCCGGGATTTAACTGGTACAGAAGTGGCTGCGGCCAGCTTGCAATGCTGTGTTTTAACCCGTTGCACCACCAGGGAGGGCCAATATATACATTATTGATGTAAGATTAGGGTCATTAACTATTTTATAAACTTAAAAAAAGTACTTCAATATTTCCTACCTAAAACATATCTCTCCTGCCTTGACTTTGTTGGAAAATGTTCCTTTAAAACATATGAAATATACATGATCAAAAAACCTGACAATTTCTCAAAAACCTAAAGTGAAATATAATATCACCTAGTTGTTTAATCAATTATAAAAAGCTTTTATCTCTGACAAGGCCAAACATGAGATTTTAATTAAGTAGTTACTTACCTAGTTGTTATTTTGGGCAATACAGACATCATACTGCTGTGATGTTATGAGGAAAGAAAGGTCAATCTAATCTACTTTTAGCCCCTAAAAAACAGAATCATAAGTCTGGACACTGTTGGGTTCGTGCTTTTCCTCTCGGTGTCAGTCCCTCATTTAAATCAATAAATCAATAAAGGAAAGGAGAGAATGCTGGACTAGAAGGCCCATTGTACAAAATATTCTTAATGTACATTTAAGTAACTTCAGAGGTAGCACAGAAGAGCAGAAATACAGTGGCTTTTTTTTTTTTTTTTTTTTTTAAACAGACCTGGGTTCAGCTCCCAGCCCTGCCACAAGTTGCTGAACATTTCTTAACTTCAGTGTGCATCTCTGTACTGGAGAAGACCGTGCATGCGAAGGGCAATGAGGGCCGTGCCGTGCAGCCACCTGCTGCTACATGAGCACCGCCTGGCTCAGCGACTGCCAAGCATAGCTGCCACCAGCTGAATGTGACATCTAATTGCTGCTTTAAGACCTAAGGTGGATTAATTCACGGGAAAAGTACAAAAGTGAACTCATCATTGTAGGGGTCTTACTAGGGAACAAGTTTCTTGTCCATTTTCAAGAGGCAACGCTAGTGGAAGCTGGATTACGTGGGGATGGCGAAGTGTCCTTTTCAGCAACCCTGTGCTTTCAGCCTGCAGATGGCACATTTGATTTCATTCAGACATATATTGAGACTGCATGCCAGTCTCCTTTCTGACATCCACAAACATGGTTTACAAGAAAAATGCTCGAAACATTTGTGATCCAACTTTCATAATTAAGTGAACAGGCTGGGTCATTTTTTCTTTCTCCGACAGCAACATTACATTGTTTTCAGAGTTAAAACTCTTCCAAAGCTCTTCTAATAGTATAGCCCCGAAGTCTCTCTCTCCTTCAATCCTATTAGAAAAAGGGGCTGAATAATAAAAATGGAAAATCCTGATATCCCCTCCTCCCCCCAAAAAAAGCCAACTCAGCAAAGAGCAGATATCTTTTGCAGAACAACAAGTGTACGTTAAAATTCTGTAATTTAAACGGTCCCTTCAAATTCACCTCATTAAAGAAGGGGGAAAAGATTCAGGTAAAAAAGTGTAAGTTTAGAATGCATGAAACCAGGCATTAGGCAAAACCCTTCCTTAGTCTCTGGCTAGTGTTTTGTCTTCCCCACTATTTAAAGGGGTCTGAAGGTCCCTTGACTAAAAATGAAGTGAAATTCTGGTTAAACACTGACTAGTCTTGAAGGTTTCTATGCATTCAGAAGGATGTTTTACAACATGGATATTTAATTATTTGATCCTACAGAAAGCTTTTTGGGAAAGCTGTATCACAAACTACTTACAGAGTGTCATTTACTAAAAGGGTAGCAATTTTCCTAGAGACCAAAGATAAATCTAACAAAAAGTTAAACACCAGTTCAAACATCACAGCCAAGTTGCTATGGTAATAAAAAGGCCCTCTTGTGCAACAAGACAAAAAGAAAAATTTTTTAAAAGCAAAACTGATTGCAATATAATCGGCAATATAATTCTAGGCAATAAGGGGGTCACCTTAGCTGAAGAGCTTTTAAGTATTTCTGTAACACTGCAAGTCTTCAGTAAATGTCATTTTTTTACTAAAAAGGGTACACATAGCATTTTGCCTTTTGGAACAATTCATAGAAATGACCAATGAAAGCATAAAAGATTTAAAGTAATGATTTAAATAAATCATATCTAGAAAAAAAGAGACAGTAAATATTCAAGATATACCAAAATCAAGCCTTAAGGCTGATTTTTTAATATTTTACTTTTGCTTTTTTATTGGCAGTGATTGTTAAAAACTAGTTTTAACTAGTTACAAATGCAGTTCATTTGAACATATAAGTATTAAAGCTGAACTTACACAAGGAATGTGAGAACACCGTTATTCTTAAACCTTAGTATTTATAAGTAAAATAGAGTAGTACTAATAAGCCATTTTCTGAGAAAAATGTAGTAGATCAGTTCACAGAAGGTAGGTTAAAATGGAAAACACCTTATTTTCCATGTTAACAGTTGTGTGCTTTCTGAGCAAATTAAATGCATTATTGTATGATGACCTTAATATTCAAGATCCTGTAACACCTACAAGGTAAGTAATAGTCCAGTCAGGGGGATGGATTAGCCCACACCTTTTTTTTTTTTTGATCACTAAAGTTACTGCAGATGGGTTTTCAATTTGATAGCTGAATTCTGAAAATTGCGAGAGAAAAAAGGAAAAACTGAAAATGCACGCACAAAATGAATAAAGAACTACTTAGCACTGTATTTCCAACCCTGCTGGAGAGCTTGTATGCCGTGGGGGGATGAGTGGCAACTGCACACAGAGCATAGGCCAAATTGTGTGCTTTAATATAAGTATTCGTTTGCAACCAACAAAGTTCCATCATAGGGGCCAAAGGGATAAATGATACAATCTGCTTTCCATCATGGATTTCAAATCAAGACATGGGTTTCGTGCTGATGTTGGCAAGTAACTCTATCAGTCCTTCTTTCCCCTAACCTCTATTCAAATCCCTTCTGAATGGATGTTGTACAACAAAAACTAAGGTTTTTTCTTGGAACAAAGAATGTGAGCTGCCGTTCCAGGATACAGAAGGCCCTCCTGATTCCCTGGGCATTTTCTAAAGCCTTCAAAATATACCAGGTGATTAAGAGTTACCAGCTTTTGGGAAAGGAGCTTAAAGAAAAAGGATAAAAAGAAAAGCATGTTCAAACTCCAATATTCCTAGTGTTTTACATGGCAATAAAAATGTTGAACTAAGGAAGACATCTCTGTTTCCAAGTACTGATTTAATTCAAACTTCATTTACCAAAATAAACTGAACTATTTATACTTTTCAACTTCTTTCCACCACTGGCCCTATTCTACCTTCTGAAATCAAGTCCATTCACCTCCGTGACTAACTAGAAATCCTGGTCTCAGGCTGAGTCCTGTAAGTCTCAAACACCTGGATAGGCACTGTTAAGGAAAACAGGAATGAAAGTGATCAGTGTGTGAACACGACAGGCTGTACAGGTTTTCTGATGTTTCTTAATCTGTAGAGAAGCCTCCCATTTTCATTGGTACCGACTTCCAAAGTCAAAAGTCTATGGCTTAAATTATATCCACAAGCCTCTTTGGGTCTCTGTATCAGTGCCTGAAGTTCAATAAAGAAGAGTGACAATCCTGTAAATAGTTTAAGTCAGAGGAGACTGGAAGGCCAGCAAATGGTGTCAGTGGGACTACTTGTGGTCATCATAAAAAATCTCATTAAAAAACAATAAAAACACTGAACGAGCACAGAGGAGGCCAATTACAACTGGGCGCCTTGGTGACACAAAGGAGAGAGCAGCACGGCAGACCCTTCTATGCTTATGACTCTGCTGTGCTCTCACAGCTATGGGGGCATCATTTCCCCAAACACCTTCCAAAAGCACTCAGGTGATATTGGAACCAAGGGCTAGATGCAGTGCTTTAAACATCATTTGATTCTTTGAGTCACTGTAGCACAGCCCAGCTTGAGATTGTTCCCCTCCATAATCATTTGCTATTTAAAAAAATCAGGGGAGATTTTACTGTGAACAATAGTGATTGTAGAATGTAACTACATTGGTATAATTTCCAGGCACTTATGTACGAAGTCAGGAACTAACTGTATCTTACTTTACTTAGCAGAGGCAGTAAATGAAACTCAGCTTTTTGACCTTTGCTTTAACCTATAGCATAGAGTTCTTGAAGTATGTATAACAAGTTTATATTACTATTAAAACTATCTCCCTAAAAGGTAAATTTACACTAGAAACAACTGCTCAACTTGTGAATGTGATTATATTTTATACACAGTTGTATTCAGGTATTTTCTGCAGCTTGCTCAAATACATGCAGAAATGAGCTGAAATAATACTGTTCTGCAAGGACCAATCCAGCATTAGCTAATTCTGTGGATGCAGGCATTCCTCAGTCAAAGCCACTGTAAGGTTAGTCTTACACATTCTTGTACATGTCTTACAGATCTTTCTTCCAAATTTGTTAGCCACACACATTGTAATGAAAACATAATGCATTTAAACAAGGTTTTTGAAACCAAGCTACAACTTTCCAAAATGCATGATGCTCTGGAAAAGACGGTATTTTGAATGTCAGGCTCAGCTCTTCTTGGAGTTAATCTAAACCTCAGTATGAAACTCTTTTTCTCAAATGGCATATTTCAGATACTATCAGTATGCTCTGAGGAATCCTATTTAAAATAAAATCATCATCTTCCATGGTTTAATTTCCTCTCTTCCTCAGATTTTAAAAAAAGAACAACAAATTAAACCCTTAAAATGTAAGAAAACAAATTTTAAAGCACAGAAATAGCCCTTTTGTCCCCAAGGATTTTATTGGACTTCGGTTTCCGATTAAAAAACAATATCACTCTCAGGTTTTTAACTATTATTATATTCCACAGTGGGGGAAAAAACACTTTCCTAAGTCTGGCATGCTTCAAAGCTAATTTTTGTGGGTGCTTCTAAAACTGTTTTCTTAAAAGCAATGCTTTAAAGCTTATTGGTTTAAGTAAGTTAAAAAAGTTAAATGAGTTTAAAAGCTTACTGGTTTAATGGTTTAAAACTTATTTTCTCTGAGACATCTAAAGCCATTTTAAGAACCTGATTTATGGACGGTAAGACTGAAGGAGGCGTTATCATAAATTCCGAAGCTGGAAAAATAATGTACTTTACAATTTAGAGAACGGAATACCCAATATCAACTCAAGTCAAATTCGGCCCTGAAGATTTCCTCATAGTAACACTGAGGTCTTTTCATTAAAGAGATGATCATCTTAATCTAGGTTTACAGTTATGTGCTCCATAGTCCATCTCAATGCTATTTCATCACTTTAAAGCTGGTTAATAACAAATTTGCGTCTCTCTTTCCCTGATGCCCCACTCAGGTCTTCCTCCTTAATTTAGCCTTCTCTTTACAAAATGTAGACAGGCTCTCCTAGAAGGAACTGGAATAAATGTTTCTATGTAAATTATGCCTTAAAGACTAAAAATTACACTTTTTTAAAAAGTTCAAAGTTATATTTTTAATTCAGTGACATGTTATGAATGCATTATCAATGGAATTCTGACAGGAAGAGGTTAAAATGTACCAACATTATCTTAGGAGCAAGGTGTTTGAGGAAACAAACAAAATGAAAAAACCCTCTTCAGGAAATACTACTGCTTTAAACTTGACATGGATTAGGTACAACCTGAAAAAGTACAAATTACACACATCCCCACACTTTCAAAATAGGCCAAAGAATTATTTATTAACGTAAGACTTACAGATCACAAAAGAGAGTGGTACAGAAGAGCTGAAAAAGAAGTCATCAGAATAAGCATGCAGATCAGTATTTGCAGAAGAATATACCAAAGCAAGGTCAAAAAGGCACATTCACACAGAAAATGTCTAAATTGAAAAAAAAAAAAAAAGAAAAGACATCAGAAAAGCAGCCCCCCAAAAAAGAAAAAAGGTGTTGGTAAATACAAAGATTTTTCAATGTCAAAAAAGAGCTACTTTACAGGTCAGTGGGGAGCTGGCTAGAGAAGTCTCGCTAACTCTGAGAGTGTCATGAAGGAGGGTGAGCACTTGCTACCAGCAAACCAGATGACCGTAGGACTGCACATCACAGTGCTTCAGGGCAGAGATTCATTTAGTGGGGGACAAAAGCAGCCTAGTGGAAGTTAATGCAGCAAGTGCTCAAAGGGTTAAATATAATACTGTGCAGAGGAATTAGGCAATGCTATTAGTATTATCTACCTTCCATACAAAGAATTATAGCAAGAGTTAAAAGAGTCAGTATCCCCTTCAGAGTTAAGTTAGGGTTTCCAAATAGGATTAAGGTCTAGTGATTGCAATCTACTAGGTTTTACTCTTTCTTCATCAGTCCACTTATGTATCTAATAAGAAGTACCTTTAACGCTCAGACTAAGAGAGCAAGAGATACTGTGTCAACACCAGGACCAAGTAAAACCAAATTGTGTCAAAGTCCCTGCCATTTACTCTTGAGGTACATTTGCTCGACAGCAATATAGCTCATTGGTCAGACATCAGCCCCTTTTAACAACCGCTCTAAAGGGATACTGCTCCTTTCTGACAGAAGGTTTACAGATCAAAAAGGAGGAAACAATCTGCTTTTAAGAGTATCCTCAAACTGAAGAGACTTGCCTTGAACATTACAGGTTCTAAGATGGGAATGTTCCAAACATACATAAAAAGAACATGAGCACAGGAGAATATTTTAACAGTCAGTCAGGACAAGTTGAGTAAAAAAATCAACCTCCCCATCCCTTAAAATAAAAAATCCAAAGACATCTTAAACCTGGATTAGACTCATCTCATAAAGATATCTAGCTTGGCACTGTGAAAGAACATAGATTCACTTTCAGAAAAATAGCTTCTAATTAATAACAAGTCCAAAAGTGTAGAATACATGTCATGAGATTTTAAAATCAAAATGTTGTTCAGAAAATGGGAGCATTTTGCAACCAACTGTTGTGGCTCAAGCAGCTCACACACACACATACACACAAAGGACTAAAATCACTCTACCACAAAAACAGCAGCAAAAAAGGCTAGAAAAACATCTGAGGAAAAGCACAAAAAAGAAAGAAAAGTATCAGGGGCCCAGGGCCTGTGACTGCCCACTGCGCTGGGACAGGGCCTGTCTGCTGCCTGTCTGCTGACGCGCTCTGCCTCAGCACCGGTTAAGAATACCTCCAACACTGTGCCAGCCAAGGAGGGAAGCAGTTTTGTTTTCTGACTTATCAATCTGACATACGCAAAAGCCTTGATACTTTACAACTTCTGCCTGACCTGTAAACTTGACGTGTCTTATGTCTCTCTCTTATTAGAAAACAACAACAAATGCTTCGTATGCATAATACGTTTTCTAGAATACAGTAATACTGAGATATTTCTCGTTGTTAAAGGCCACAATATAGGTTTATCTTTCTATGTACATATAAAAAAAACAGCAAAAAATAAAAACTAGGACACTTGGGAATCTACTTTTTGTGACAGGAAGTTGGACTTGGAAAATAAACTACTCCATGTAAATCCATACATAATTTAAACAGGGCTCCTTATGAGATGCTTTCAAACATTTTATGAGAAAGTTAGTAGTTACCCTATTCTACCAACTACAGATTTGCTACAATACTTCGGGTAATAGAGTTAAGACTGAAAACTGTACCTGGAATCCACTAACAACTCACACCCTCCTCCTTGCCAGACCGTGGCTGCCAGGGCACCCATACAGAAGCTCCTTTCCCTCTTCTCCTGTAAGGACATGGAAAATGGCAACAACTGGAGGGACATTTTCGTTTTCTTGGCCTAACCAAAGCCAGTGTCTGGAAACCAAAGACAATACTATGTTGGCAGGTGCCAAATAAACCCAAGAGGAGAAAAGGAGAGGATCACACTGCTCTACTCCCAGGAATGGAGGGACATCACGGATACTGGAAAAGTTTATGCAATTTCTGTCAATGTGGGGTTCGTTGAGCAGTGGGTTTTATGTGCCTCTAACACCAACTTGGTGTTAAGAGTTCAAAAATAAAAATATTTTAGCTACCAATTTAAGTTCCGCTGTATTCATGGTAACTGTATTAACTGTATATCCAAGTATCCTCAGGATATTAAGGGAACTGGCAATGAAGAGGTTAGTAGATCAGCACGTCACAAAGGTTAAGGGCCAAGGCCTTACTCTGCTATGAACACCCACAGAACCATCTTTGAAATCTACATCACCATCACCAGAGCAATCTCACCAATTCCTCACCTGCAGCAGGAGGATGCTGGCCACTAACTGTGGGCAAATCCAAAGAGCTATCAGACATGACATGCTTAAGATCTCCTCCCACATCAGCCAATTTCATGTCAAACTGAACAGAGAGTGCATCTTCAGAGTCCTCCTTGCCAACACTGCTGCCGCCAATGGAAGGGAGGTCCAAGGACTTCACCGAAGCAGAGTCTTCTTTGGTGTGTCTGAAAGCCACTGCTTTCTCTCCCAAGGATTTGTCAGAGTTCACAGAAGAAAATTTATTGGAGTGGAAGTCGGCAAAATCATCATCACTTTTTACTGAAGGGGTGCTATCTTTCAGTTCTTCAACACCGAGTCCAGATCCTTCCAGAGAAAGCTGTCTGAAGACATCATATTTGGTACACATGGCAACTGAGCTTTGTCCACTCTTCACTGTGCTGCTCAAGCTACTGGTCAGAGGAACAGGGCTTGCTTCCTCTTTAAGGGCATCATATTTATCATCTGACTTCTGCTCACACGAAATAGCGCTATTACTGAAAGCTATAAAATCTGCAAAGTCATCCTGCTCACTAGCAGGTGCTGGGCTAGAATATTCCCCAAAAAGGTTGAATTCTCCAAATTCATCAGCCAAACTAGAGGTTTTAACTGATGCTGATGTTGTCGTAGTTGTAGCAGACCCGGTGGGCTGCGGTCGTGTGGAAACAGGTTTCGATGTACTGAACGTGGTCAAAACGGACAATGATTTCTCACTGCTGCAGCTAACTGAGGAAAACATATCTAGATCTGCTAAATTCAGGGGATTTTTCACTTGTGCTTGTTGTTTCTGCTGCATAGTTCCTGAGGGGAAGGCTGTAGGATAAGTTTTGTCTCTTGTTGGTGGCTCTAGTGGCGATACACTATCGGCGGTTTTAAAATCAGTGAAACCATCATCTGTTCCTGCAGATCTGAATTCTGCAAAGTTTTCTCCTGAGAGGAAAAAACATAAATAGGAACATTGAACTGAAAACTGCATAGTACAGTTGCAAGCATATTAAAATTATAAGGATGGCCCTCCCTGGTGGCGCAGCGGGTTAAAGCACAGCACTGAGAATCTAAAGCCGCTTCCGCATGAGTTCGATTCCCGCCTGCCCCGGAGGTGACCACATGGCGTGGCAGACCTCTCCTGACCCGCCCGCTGCTCCCCTTAGCAGTGTGCTTCGTCAATCTGCCTGTTCTGTTCCCCACTCTGTCTCTGGTGAAGCCTCTCGCCGCCCCTGAGCCTCTGGCCTGTACCCCAGTTCTGTATGCACAAATAAATAAATCTTTAAGAAAAAAAAAATTATAAGGATTACTTTATGAACTTTTCCCACCACTGGCCTGACATCACTGAACTACCATTGAAATCTCATCAGATACCTTTGGAAAATATATGCTTCCACATTAAAACAGCTAGTGATACAGAGAAATAAAAAAAAAAAAATTAAAGTGAAAGCACCGAACAGTACAACTTGCATCCATTTTAGTGTGGCTTGTCCCCAAAAGTGCCAGGTCCTTCAGGGAGCCAAAGTCACTGCCCTTGTGACTTGAAAACAGTCAGTCAGCTAAGAAACAAAGAATTAAGAAGATGCTGAAGGTTGCTCAAGAGTAGCATATTAAAGCAGTGACCCTTTAAAGATAAAATGTGTTAGGCCCTCCCTGGTGGCGCAGTGGGTTAAAGCACTGCACTGAGAAGCTAAAGCCACTTCCGCATGAGTTCGATTCCCGCCTGCCCCGGAGGTGACCACATGGCGCGGCAGACCTCTCCTGACCCGCCCGCTGCTCCCCTCAGCAGTGTACTTCGTCAATCTGCCTGTTCTGCTCCCCACTCTGTCTCTGGTGAAGTCTCTCGCCGCCCCTGTGCCTCTGGCCTGTACCCCAGTTCTGTATGCACAAATAAATAAATCTTTAAAAAAACAAAACAACATAAAATGTGTTATATGATGATGAACTAGGAAAAAAAAAAGTGTAGGTGCCAACGAAGTATTATGAAAGATTGTTATTTATAACATATAACATTGCATAAGGTACTTTTTAAGTATATGGCCATTCAAACAAGACCATACCATGTGGTCTTGCTCAAGTGTTACTTGCAAAGCGTCTGGCTAAGGGCATGTTTTAAAGCAGCTTCTCCCTATACTCAAACAAATAAACTGAAGCTCACAGAAAAAAATCTTGAGTACTTGGGCTTTCCTTGAAATCAGCTATCTCACTATACCAATGAGTACATGGTTTTTATTTATTAAAATTCAAAGAGATTTGAATAAATAAGAACTATTATTTAAAATTTCAAAGGATATAATTTAGACTTCAGCTTATAATTTGTCATTCTGAGGTTGGGATTACTAAAAGTATTCTTGGAGGGAATATTATTGTACGTAAGAGAAAACAGGTACTTTCCATAAATAATTTAACACTCAGTAAAGATACTGATAAAAATCTGGACCTATGATTCCTAGTAGGGCTTTAATTCTTTATTGTCACAGTAATGTTATCATTCATAAATTAGGATGCAGATGATCGGTTTTCTAATGGTGTTTGAAGCTCTTCCATAAAATACCATAAAAAAGATCTTTTAAGACAATTGTTGGCGAGGATGTGGAGAAAAAGGAACCCTCCTACATTGTTGGTGGGAATATAGACTGGCGCAGCCAGTTTGAAGGTTTCTCAAAGTATTAAAAATAGGGGCATCCTTGGTGGCACAAGGGATTGTCTCAGCATTACGAAGCTATTAGCAGCCACTGCAGCTCAAGTTTGATCCCCGCCCAGGGAGCTGACCCACATGGTGCAGCAGACCTCTCCTGTCTCACCCACTGCTCCTCTCAGCAGTGTATTTCAGTGGATCCACCTATTCTGTCCCCTACTGTGTCTCTGGTGAATCCTGTACCTCACCCCACACCTATGGCCTACACCCCAGCTCTTGTATGCATAAATAAATAAAATAAATCATTAAAAACAGATCTACCATATGATCCAGCAATTCTACTCCTATGGAGCTGTCTGAAGAATGCAAAAACACTAATTTGAAGGGATATATGCATTCCTATAGTCTCTGCTGCACTATTTACAACAGCCAAGCTATAGAAACAAACCCAAGTACCCAAGGATAGAGGAGTGGATTAGAAAAATGTGGTGTGTATGCATACAGACCGATGCATCCACACCCACACAGGAATACTACCCAGCGATAAGAATGATCAACTCTTGACATTTACAATCACATGGATGGAACTGAAGGGGATAATGCTACGCAAAAGAAAAATACTGGATGGTCATTTATATGTGGAGTACAGAGAAATAAAACAAAGTGCTATTAAAACCAAACCAATAATAAACCCTAGAACTGACTGTGGAATCCAGGCTACAGTGGGCCAGTGCAACATAATGGTCTATGGTGGAGGGTTATGGTACATTGGTGGTGGGTGTGAGGTGAGATTCTCTGCCTCCAAATCATATACAATGTCACCTCAATGGGAAAAAAAAAACAACCTTGCTTTTAATTTGCTCCAAATATTGGGATAAGTGCAGAGTTAAGACTCTTAACTCATGGTGCTAGAGACAAAAAGGTAGATCATGTTATTTATAAAAATGCATGGTCTTTGACATATACAAAGCAATATATTACACTGACATTAAGATTTACCTGGTAATTTTCCTGGTCTCTCATTTAAATGGAACCAGAAAAGAAGTGGACACAATAAAATTTAGAATTGTTGGCAGGTTTAAATTATTCCTTATTTTATTTAACACTCAATAAGCATAACAAATTCACTGCATAAGAATATGACCCAAAAATGCAGGAATTAAAGTAAAATAGTAAAATAAAGCTAAAAATAAGCCTTCCACAAAATCCAGAAGCCTATGCCAGTAATGCATAAGAGATAAAACAGTAAACATAACATTGTAAAAATACAGGTACCTTACAGAGATTTATAAATTAAAATACAAGCAAGCTTGAATTTCCTTGTCCACTATTTTAATTTCTAATTTTCCCTAAAAAATGAACTATAAATTTATACAAATTATAAAAGCTTATTTAAAGCCCAAAGGCCAATTGTTAAAATTGACATTAAAATGTAGGTTTTAAATACATTGTGCTTTTATCAGGATACATATTTTATATATCATGTGAAAAAATACAGAAAACAATGGGCACTGATTTTTCCTCCTGACCTGAGATATTTAACCAATTCACCCAGTAGGGGAAAATCTATTAATATTAGGGAATTTTAGAAAGAGAGGACTAGCATTCAGAATTCTTATGTTAATGTTTTTTAAGACATACCAATAATAAAGTCAATTTCACAAACTGACAGGAGAAGCAGATGTAAAACTTTTTAAAAAATCACCCTAGAATTTTAGGCATGTGTATTGATAATTATATCTGTATTATTTCTGCAAATAGAAAATGTAATGAAGCAGCCAATTTTTTTTTATCACAAACCAAATTTTTGATGAGCTGCTTTGAAATATCTGTGAAATTGACATGTTGCTTCTTTATTAAAAAAAAAAATCACCACAGCAAAATAAACTTACTGATTTGGAAACTTTTCATTATAAATGTAAGCTGGGTTAAGGGATTAAAGAGAAATAAAGATGGGTAGGCTTTGCAAGTTGAAAACAAAGAATTTTTTGGCTAGTAGATTCACTGTAGTCACTAGAAGCTTGTATGTCGGGAGCTTTTCAGTAAACTTCTGAATCCTCACAAGACCCCCTCTCTAATAACTGCATCCCCCCCGCCCCCTCCCACTACTCATATGGGTTTTATTTGAAACCTTTTTAGTCCTTAGCTGATGTCCTTAGCTGATCAGACATTCTGATCCCTTCCTGTCATGTTCTCCTTACTAATTGTATAATTATTATTTTCTAAAATGACAAACCAATATTTTATATCCTGTTTGTTTTTTCACAAAATAGCGTTTCTCTCCATTGGTGCGGTCACCATGTGGTCGCAGTTGTCTCCCATCACCAAACGCCCCCCGTCATCTACCAGTGTCCCTTGTTGCTCCTCCCCACCTCCACCCTCTGGATGCCTCAGATCTATGGTCTAAGTGACTGCTTTCAAGACCTTCACTGCAAAAGAGATCAGTTTCTGGTCAAACAGAAAGTGTTACTGTACTATAAGGAATATTTTCCTCAACTGTAGGGATAGAAAAAAAATATTATTAAATTCTATTATTTAGTCACTTAAGAAATCCACAGCTCAGAATGCTGAAAGATTCTTCAGCATGAACTCTTAAGGTTTGATGAATTAGGTCTATTTTTAATAAAATAGACTATATTCTCCTAAACTGAGCAAACCTGGTATCTCTATTTGGAAGGTCCTAGAGTTAAATAAAGTTAAGACAGGAATGAAATCAAGCAAACAAAAATGACATTCAATCTGGATTCCGTTAATAAAGTACTGTGAAAGCAGGACCAAGGTACTACTTACATGTTGGTGGCAACACTGTCTTCCCAGGAATAACATGCATAGCATATGATCACTAATACCATACTACACAAAGAACCCGATGTCAACCATGCTCTTTACTCCAACTTGTCTCAGCCAAGGGTTGATAAAAGCATTGCCAGTAATGACAAATTTCAGAAATGACAACTTAAGCCAAAAGTTCTCCAGGGTTTATCCTTGTACTCTTAGTGCCTAGAGCTAGCACTAAGGAAGAGATAATTATTACATCCTAAAGGTTTGAATGAAACATAAGGAAGCATTTTTAGAACCACAGAGCTGTAAGGCATGGAATATTCTTAAAAGAGGGGATTTTCCATTTTTAGAGGTGGATAAACAGTATACTTTATTTTAGCTTTTCTATAACTTTCCAGCTCCTGGGCAGCAGGGTGAGAATAAATGATTGCTGACAATGTTCCAAAGTTAAACATTGAGTACACAAAACCAGAATGTGGTACTGTTCCCAGAAAGAAAGCCTCATTAGAGTATACAAATCTTACAGGATGCACAACTAGACACTGGGGACACAACTTCACTTGTGGATTATATGAACTCTGCATCATGTTTACAGAGTGATTTAACTACAGATATAACTTTCAGTCTTTATATATATTGCTCTTAAATTATCATTTTATATTCCCTTCAACTCAGTTTAAGCCCTTCTATCAGAGATGGGATATATATATGCACAATATATATGAACATAAACCCCTCCATCTTATTATAATAAGTTTTTAAAATCTTGGAAAGTGAAAGACTGTACTTTGCATGGTCACAGAGTACTGTACTGTCAGCAATTCAAGTTGGCCTCTTGTGTACATTAAAATAACAAAAGTAGTGAGTACCCCGTTTGACAGACAACAATCCCATTTGATCTGAAGACTTTCAGTAAAAGGGGATGTAACTTACCCACAGAGGAAATTGTACTGACATGGGCCTTGTTCTGAATTTTAGAAAAGTAATTCCCAATAGCTGAACTGTATTCGCCTCCTTGTAATTTCTAGAACCAATAAGCTAAATATTGTTTTTTTAAAAGCTGAGGTGTGTCATTGAAAGAGCCATGAAATATTTTAATTAAACATAAAATAGTTTATCCATTTAAGAAATCAAAAACTTACCTAAATGTTTACTCTCTGCTGTCTGTTCAAGTTCTCTGAAAGCACTATATTTATCACCAGGCTCTATGATAAAAAGACAGACACTTAATTAAAGTGAGGGACTTTGAGATCACAACTTAAGGAAGATAGATGGCTTTGACCAAACATACATAATGGTGGCACAAACATTTTACATATTTACCATGAAAGGTCACTAATAAAAATAAAGATTTACATTATGAATTTATAAACTTTTTTTTACCTCCAACTGGAACAGTGTTTTCAGAGGATTTGTCAGCTGTAATTCCTTTAAACACAGCATATTTATCCACTGAAGTTGATGCTTTATTTCCAGGAAGTGGCATCAACAAAGAAGGGGCACTAAAAGGGAAAAAGAAATATTCCTTAATGACTCGAACATTGAATTCCTTCCTTTTCATCGTGTGGGAACTTAGGATATATCAAATGTCAAACAAGCACCAAGTTAAAACTCATGCTCTCTGCTTTAAAAGCTAGAAGGCAGACCTTTCCTCTCGCCTGGTGCTTCCTTCAGCAGTGAATTTCAATTAGTCTGACTGTTCTGCTCCTCAATACGTCTATGCTGAATCCTCTCACCCCACACATCTGGCCAGTGTACCCTATTTCTTGTATGCATAAATAATAAATCTTAAAAAAAAAAAAAAGCTAGAAGGGCCTCCCTGGTGGTAGGAGGGGTTAAGTCTCAGTACTATGACGCTATTTGCAGACACTACAGCACAAGTGCAGCCCCCCTGATCCCCAGCCAGCGAGGTGACCCAGTTAGCACCCAGTTAGCATGGCAGATCTCTCCTGTCTTGCACACTGCTCCCCTCAGCAGTGTATTTCAGTAGATCCGCCTGTTTTGCTACTCCCCACTCTGACTCACCCCTTCACCCCTCACATTTCTGGCCTATACCCTAGCTTTTTTTTTTTTTTTTAAGATTTATTTATGTATTCATTTGTACAGAACTGGGGTACAGGACAGAGATGCAGAGGGTGAGAGGATTCACCAGAGACAGAGCAGGGAGCAGAACAGGCAGATCTACGAAGTACACTGCTGAGGGGAGCAGTGGGCGGGGCAGGAGAGGTCTGGCACGCCATGTGGTCACCTCCTGGGCAGGCGAACTCAAGCGAAGTGGCTTTAGCTTCTTAGTGCTGGGCCTTAACCAGCTGTGCCACCAGGGAGGCCCTACCCTAGCTCTTTTATACATAAATATATCTTAACAAGAAAACAAAAAGACAAAAGCTAGAAAATACATAGAAACCAGAAACACAGCCTTTTTTCTTGGAAAATAAAATACTCCCACAAGCAGTAATTCTTTTATTATTTGAAGGGGGTCAGATCCATGTTGACCATCGAATTATCTCTTTTATTAGCCTAGTAATAAATAACTAGAATGTCACTGGAATGATGACGTGCAATTACTTTTTATTTATGTATTTTTACATCATTGTATGACCTGCAATTTTAACTGAAGGTCCTCAAAACTCCAAAAGTGAACTGCTCTAAATATATATACCCAATATCTCAGAGTTAAATTATGTTAGCTTTACTATAAATTATTCTCTAAAATGGGTTCAGAATGCCCAGGTACAATAGATAAGATAAAAATCTTTTTATTAAATGTTCAAGCTAAAATGTAAATTATTCTTTTCATCACATTCCATTGCTTACTGCTAGAAGTTCACACATCTGATAAGTAACAGAGTTAACACAATTTGATCAGAGGCTAAGGAAGGTATCTTTGTAGCAAAGCAACAATCACTTTAAAATTGGATACTTTTGCCCGACACTGGATGGAAAAATAATGTAATGAGCAGTATTGGTTTGGGAAATTCTTAGCTTAAACACAGACTAAGAAAGCATTGCTTCCCCTTCCCCCTTTCCCACCTTATCAGGTGGAGGCAGTTCCCAGGGAGAATATCCTTTACATATGAAAGACTACAACCCACTACAAGCCAGTGCCATTCAACACCACACATGCAAGAGATATAAATGGATTTCTATAGAGTTCTTTGCCCTGGAGCAAAAATCTTTCCACAGTCATTTAAATCTTATCAGTGGCCTATGAGCAAGGTAAAAATCCCAGCTCTTACCCAAGTATGCTAATGAAAGTCCACAGTGCTTTAGGACTGAATGCTATCAAATATTGTAATTTCACCTTACTAGCAAACAGTTAGCTATGTTTTTTGATCTTGACAAATAGGTCTTCATCTATATTTTATAGGTGTATTTTTTCAAGTTTCCTAAGTAAAGTACAACTCATTTACAGAATGTTACACTGATACATAGTAATAAAGGCAATTAATGCACTGGGGAAAAAACACCAAATTGAATTAATTTCTTTTTCACAACCTACGAACTTCACTGGCAATATCTACTAAATAGGGCACATAATTGAGTATTATTAATTTTGGAATTAGTTTTGTAACTGGGTGTTCCCTAGGAAAAGGGAAGTTCCAGGTTCCCTGCCCCACCCAGAAGGAGGGTGGAACTGAGCAGAGAAAAAGGAGAGAGAAGAAGAGAGAAGGAAGGCAGAAGACAGATGGAGAAGGAGACCTAAGGAAGCCACATGGAGCAGCAAGCATGTGATGAAGAAACCGGGCTTGTTTCCTGACCCTGGACTGGTTAAGGCAGATGTGGGTGAGATACCTGTAGGGAGGTGACCATGGCAGTGTTTATATTGATTTTGATTTTGCTCTTTTCCTCTCAGATTTGTCTGGCCATTTCTGACCCTTTTCCATGGGTCCCAGCCAGAAGGTGCTTTAGTCTTGTGGCAGGCTTTCAGGCCTTGCTTTGGGCCAATCCCTTTTGGGTTGACTTTTGCCCACGAGGGGATGGGTAACTTCAGGTGTTTGATTTAGAAGTTATATTCTTTGTGTTCCATATTGTATATTCACTGTATTAAAGTCACTTTTCATTAAAGCTTTATATGTTTTGTCTTGTTGCGGCGGATGGCAGAACCCACTTAGAGCAGGCAGGTTTTGGGACTTCAGGGGTGCCTCTCTCTGAATTGAGGTGCCCTATAACAGATTTGTTGCCCTATAACAGTTTTACAGAATTGGAAAAAATGGACTATCTTCATGGTAATGAAACATTGCTGACAGTCAACAAAATAAAATTCTATTTAAAGAAAACCATGACAGACCACAATTTTACACATATTACAAATGAATAATTCATCCCAGCTCTTTCTGGACAGTTATTTTAAAAAATACTGTAATCACCAGGAAAGTGTTTATGCCAGTTACCTAAGGTAGTCACGATCTGTTCCGAACAGGAATACAGTTACACTACAACACCAATGAAAGGTACTCATGGGAGAGAGGCATATCTTTAAGTCTTATGAACTTGCATTCTACTGAAAGGTAAGACTTTAGAGAATTTGGTCATCCAATAATGTGTTTTTCTTTTTCTCTAGTGAACCCATTTGTGTCTTATAATCACTCCATGTGGCTGGGGTGGATTGTTTCTACCCTGCTAAACAGACATTTAAAAAGCAAAATAAATTAGCTAAAGCTAACTCCCAACACCCTCCCCTTTAACCTTCTCTGAACTATTCTATCCTTGGTGCTGCATCTATGCCTGGTTTACCACTCTAGTTTCCCAGAGCCTGGCACACAGCTACATGACGAGTAAAAGAACAATGATTTTGTTCTCCAGACCCCTTTCATGCTGCCGTAACAGCAGGTTTATGTGCTATTTCTCCTTTGCTTTTGATACCAGTTTAACACTGAGCCCAAACAATTATTCAGATAGTAACTTCTCAGTGTCTATAACTCTAAACCCAGGATACCTCTCATCATCTTGTGGCAGCTGAATTTAGCTCACAAAGTTGCAAGGATCACCCTCATGCTACCTCTTCTTTTTTTTAAAGAAGATTTATTTACTTATGCATACAGAACTGGGGTACAGGCCAGACTTGAAGGGGCATTGAAATGATTCATCACAGAGTGGGGAGTAGAATAGGCAGATGGATGAAGTACACTGCTGAGGGGAGCAATGGGCGAGACAGGAGAGGTCTGCTGCGCCATGTGGATCACCTCTGGGGTGGGGATCGAACTTGCACCGAAGTGGTCACGGCCAGCTTCGCAGTGCTGCTCTTGAAACCACTGCACCACCAAGGAGGGCCATATTTCTAAAATGTTTTACAGATTATGCCACAAATTTGAAGGTATCTTACCCTGAACTAAGGTCACTTCTTCACAGACTAACAAATAAGTTTTAACAACTTATTTGCCTTTTCATTTTCTTTGACAATGCTCACTTTCTGCTTAAAATTACACCCAAAATGGCCTCATCTAAATTTAGCTAGTCATATGCTAATTTAAAAAATAACCCTTTAAAATAAACTCACAATCTGGAATACAGGTGATCATAAACTGGGGAATTTTATATGTGTGCGCGCACACAGACGTGCACACACACAAACACAGAGCTAAGGTATAAATTAATTCTAAGAGAGTTTTATGAGAGAATACACCCAGAAAAAACTAAGCTTCTTTAGAAGAGGAATGGCTTTTTCTTCTGTATTTCTAGTGCCTATCCACAAAGCTAAATAATTGTTTCTGAGTGAGTCAATGAACAACGAGGATGGATTTTTAGACATGAGCAAAATGTTTTCAGGTACAGAAATTGAAGTAGTCATGTCAGAACTGAAAAGGAAAAGTTGCAAAGTATGGCTGTCCATGGAAGTAAAGTCATTCTATGGAGATAAATGACACACGAAATTGTTAATAGCCCATGTAGCTCACATCTGGTTATCATCTTGAAACTTTCTATGTCTAGAATATAATTCTATCTACCAAGAGAAGTTTTTTCCCTATAGGAATGAACCATCAATTTGATAAGTTTAACATCTAACTTCCACACTACAATAAGGCACACATCTTATTTTATTGTGCTTTGCTTTATAAAGCATACTTCACAGATAACTGTGATTTTTACAAATTCAAAGTGTGGATCAAGTCTACCGGCACTATTTTCCCAATTGCATGGGCTCACTTGGTATCTTTATGTCACATTTAATTAAGACATGCACATTTTTGGGAAATGCTATACCACATTCAATAGAGTATAGTACTGTGCAAACATAACTTTCAAATGCATGGAAACCAAAAACTGGTGTGTCTAATGTTACTGAGATACTCACTTTATAGCAGTGGCCTGGAACTGAACCCATACTTTCTTCAAGGTGTGCCTGTATTTTTCTTCCAACATACTTATATTAATTAATACAAACTTAAATTAATTTCCTCCAATAAACTTATATTAAGCACTACATCTATAGACATGAAAAACTGTCTTCAAATACTTAAGAGCATCACCAGGAAAACAGTGAGGTCGGTCCAGCAATTATCAATTAATTAGGAATTAGGACACAAGTATCTATAATATTCTTATAGGTGAGAGGCGAGACCCTAAACTCATCTTGGAAGTGAAGACTGGACTGGCGGAGTGGGGTTAGTAAAAAGTTTCCACATTACACTGCTTTTTGAAATTGGTTTTTCTGTATGCATAAATAAATCTTAAAAAAAAAAAAGAGGTAGCATGAGGATGATGCTTACAGCTTCAAATGCTGGACAATGCTCAAATTAACTGTGCTAGAATTACAGAATTTCAGGCTGAAGAAAATAATGTAGAAGGCCACAAACTTGAAAGAGCACAATCAGTCTGGAGCTGTTTTGGCATGTCATAGTATAAGCAGAGGGAAAAAATGCAAAGAATTGAGAGTAGGCATAGTGGAGCAAGATTCCACATCATTGTTTTTCCAGGTCAAGCAGATGACAGAATTGACAGTGTAAAGGAGAAAGGAGTCCAAGCTAAAAAAAAAAAGCTTCTGATTTGATGATTGGATATACTGACATTCACCAAGGAAAGGAATGATTTAATCATTTTATGCTAGCTTTACATAGAGAAAGAATTTAATTTCATGCAGGTAATGTGAGATGCTTTGGATCATTCAGAGAGGGATATTTAGACAGCAGAAGAACATAAATTTTATTTAAAGGAACAGGTTTGAGAAAGAAGTATATCAGGTCAAATATACACGTTCTGGTTTAGAATACATTAAGAATACATTCAGTGGTGCATTCTTAAAATTGGCATAATCTCTTAACCTAACTTGTATAGTGTCTATATAATGTCTATCCCTTAGTTATTGCTATAGCATGTACTGCAGGAAGTATTAACTAAAAATTGATAAGTGATGAATGTAAGTGATGTAATGAAGTTGAACTAATAGAAAAACAAGAGCAATGGAATATGTATTCTGTCAAAAACAAGTGACAAAAATGAAACCAAACAAATTCATGCTGCTTAAAGTCTGGTGTGTTCTGTTCTGTTGAAGAGTTTCAAACACTTAGGGAAAAAATGAGGTGGAAAGGTGTTCATGACATGCCAAATCAGTTACTGTACCCTGAAAGGTAAGCTAGCACATAAAACACTAGAGAATGTTTATACATTTCAATGCAAACAAGTAAATCTGAAGGTGTAAGAGCCACTGATCTCAAATGAATAATCACAGGGAAGTTTCTGAATTATGATTGTGGTGGGAAGTCAATGGTGCATTATATTACAAAAATATTAATTACTTGCCCCTGACAAAAAGGTTTCAACAGTGGGACCTGGCTCTATTACAAGAACATAAAGCCATCACTGCACAGGTGCACTCAGCTAAAATAAGTCAGATTTAGAACAGACCATAAAAAAAAAAAAACGGCAAGCAGGAGTGGATCATGAAAAAAAGGCAGAAGGTGGGCAAAAGGAGAGAACTTCAAAGAGGAGAAGTATGAATAATGAGAGAATAATAGAGAAAACTTGAGAGTAAGGAATCTTAATTCTCTTATAAACAGGCTTCTCCTTGTAAACTCCTCATTCTCAGTTATTAAATACAGTGTTAATGATAACCAGTTTTTTCTACCTGTTTCCTTGTTGGGAATTTGTTTTTGAAGGAGGAGGCAACTCTTGGAAATCACTGAATGAGTCATCAAGGGATCCTGACTTAGAAGCATCTTGAAATTCCTGGAAGTCATCTTCTTCTGGTTTTACCACCTAGATTTACAGAGGACATTTAAATAGATGTCAAACTGATAAAATAATAAATAACAAATCTCCAAGTGTTAATTTAATAACTGCCTTTGAAATCTCCCCACTAAGGTAAAGCTAATAAAATGTAGAACACCCTTTGGATATAGCCCTTAAGGCAGAATCCCGTTTTGTGTTTTTAGATATGCTCTTTCATACATGGTAAAAGACTGGTCTAAAGAGAGAATATGAGTAGCTGAATCATATAGATTATGAGAATCTGCCATTTAAAAAAAACATTTACACACATTTGGAAAATACAAAATGATACAAACTTGTTACACTTATTACAAATGTATAAGTAATGAATAATGAATAATGAATGAATAATGACCCCTAATCTCATGCTCATGAAGTATTAACAGTTCGTTTATTCATAAAAAATGAGCTTCTAATGGTTCTACACTTAAAAAAAAATGTAATTTTATAACATAGAACTAACTCTTTTCTATGCATTATATGTATAGCTATCACATTCATTTTAATGATGAAACAGTTTACCGGTGTATAGATAAACCATAAGTTACTTAACTTTCTTAATGGACATTTATCTATTTCTAATTTTTCACTCTAATAAATAAGACCAAAACAAATATCCTTTGATATCGTTTCTAACAGGAGTTTATTTCTATATAGATTCCTAGCAGTTTACTACTTTCTATAGCTATTCCAAACCTGCCTTCCAAAAAAGTCGTGCCAATAAACTTAAAACTATTATTTTTATTGACAGTTAAATATTAAGCATTTAAAACTTTACTAATCTGAGAAGTGAAAAATAAAAAATTTCAAATTTAGCAGTTTCCTCAAAACACACAGCCTAAGAATTTAATCAGCTTTATTAGGCTTGATGATTAAAATGTGTATGCGATAAAGAACTAAATTTTTACACAAAATTCAAATATCTTAAGGTTTAAAAAATATCTTCATGCTTTTAAAGTAATGAAACATTAAATGTGCATTTTTTAGTCACTTCTAGTGACTTAATAGTCACTTCTAGTGTTCAACAATCTTCTCTATACATCCCTGAAAAAAATGTTGCTTTGATTCACTTTCATGAATTACTGAGCATCAGGAATGTGCATGACTGCTCCTTTTACCTGATTTGCCTGGTGAGCTGGCATGAAGCCACTGGAAGCCTGGGCTGCAGCTCCCCCAACTGGTCCAACATGGTTAATGCCCATAACTGACTGTCCAAGATTGAGGGGCAAAGAACCTGCAGGGCCTTGAGGCATTCCAGTTGGCTGACTCACAGCAGAAGGCAAAGTCATAGGAAAGCCACTTAGAGTTGGAACAGGAGCTGCTGGGAACTGGTTTAAAGCATCAGGACCCAAGGCTGGAACACCCCTCTAGAAAGAAGAAAAAAAAAAATTTATGGGAACTGTAAACCAAATGCAATCCAAAGCTCGCAAAGACCTGATTGTAAAATATGTAGCTCTGGTAATTTTTCACTTTCATTCTTCCAAAACTCATGAATTTGATACAAGTAAGTGAACTACAAGATTAATGCAAACCTAATAGCTAGCACAGACATGGCTAACACCGATCAGCAACACCATTTTTCAGTTTTGATTAAGTCATTAAAATGAAATTTTTAGGGCCTTCCCTGGTCATGCAAGGGATTAAAGCACAGCATTATGAAGCTATTGCAGCCACTGAAGCACAAGTTCAATCCCAGGCTCGGGGGGTGACCCACATGGCACAGCAGATCTCTCCTGACCCGCCTGCTGCTCCCCTTAGCAGTATTATTTCGGTCAAATCCACCTGTTCTGCTCCCCACTCTGTTTCTGGTGACTTCTCTCACCACCCCTGCAACTCTGGCCTATAACGCAGTTCTATATGTATAAATAAATCTTTAAAAAAATAAATAAATAAAAATTAAAAAAATATTTTTTAGTATGAGAATACATTGTATCAAAGTAATTTTAAACAAGGACTTGAAAGGACAGATAAAACAATTTTTCATCTATTACTAACTTTCGGGTTCAGAAAGGACACAATTAGGCTATCGAAAGTTAATATATTTTTTAAAAACCTTCAAATAAAGGATTATTTTGTTAATATGTTTATTATAGAAAATGTATCTTTTGAAGTACTGTGTCTCAGTATGAAATTAACAAGTAGGCCTCCCTGGTGGCACAAGAGGTTAAGTCTCAGCACCACCAAGCTATCCCTGGCCAGGGAGCTGACCCACATGGTACAGCAAACCTCGCCTGTTTTGCTGCTCCCCTCAGCAGTATATTTCAGTAGATCTACCTGTTCTGCTCCCCACTTGGTCTCTGGTGAATCCTTCCCCTCCCTCCTCCCACTCCTGTGGTCTACAACCCAGCTCTTGTATGCATAAATAAAATATTAAAAAGAAATAAGCAATTATTTATTAATAAGTTTAATTATTATTGAATTAAAAAATAATAAAATTTATTGTACAAGGAGTTAAAAGTTGTAATAAAAAAGGATTCCTATTCCTTTAACTTACATTGAAAAGTTTGATTTAACTTAAGAAACACTGTCTACCTGTGTTACTGCTATCATGGCGAGAACGGTGTAAAGTTCTTCTTTAGTAAGCTTGCCAGGTGTAGTTCGATTAGCTAAAGCCCATATTTGTCCAAGAGTTTCCCTGGGAAGTCCAGATGATATCAGAATGGGATAAAGTTTAGCAGTATCTATTCCAGTTGGAGTCATTGTGGTTTCTAAAATTTTCTTATAGGCATCTATTACAAGAAAGACCATATGACAAATGTTAACATAAATGATTGAGCTTTTTGCTGTCATTCTAAGAATAATTTTAAATCAAGATGCTTTAGTATAAAAGAAATCACATTAGGATTTGAACTGCTATAGAGACTATCAATGCAAATATTTAGCAATTACAAGAGAGGCTGACGCATTGTTTTAAAGATGGCTATTTGGGCAAAAGGTAAAAAATTCTTAATTCAGTAGAAGACAGCAACAACAATTAGTGTTTAAAATTTATTTTTACATCTAGAATTTAAATATGAATTACAGGTTTGTAGGCCAGCCATACACATACACACTTAGACTAGGAAATTGTGTATGCACAAATGTTAGGAAAGAGGGTGAAAGAAATAAAAGCTGGCAGAAAACAGCACTCCAAAATATAAGATGATCTAAATGTTGCTTACTTGGCTTATAGACAAAGAGAAAGTGGAAAAGATGCAAACTGTCTAAAGGCAGTTTAGAATATTTCAGAATATGAAGCACTATCTTGGAAATTAGTTTTTTACTTTGTTATGATGCAAAATGGACATTAACTGGTTTCATTCAAAAAACAGCTGAGCTACAGGAATTCTGCCTAAGTTTTAATCAAGTGTGCAGTAACTTCAGTTTTTGATCAGCCTAGAAAATTAAAGATCTGATGAAGTTACATAGTTTTCAAGGGTTGGCAAGGTACCATAAATTAAACACATTACATTTTATTAAGATTGATTAGCACATGCTACTGTAATCATGCATATCAACTGTGGCTTAAACAATTCATTTCCTCAAGTCAACTGAATACTGCCACAAAATATGCATCTTTGTGATAATATGCATAAAAAAAGTAAACATCATTTTCCAAAGTAAAGGCATCATTTAGACGTTTATGTCATATAGTTAACCACATGACAAAGTTAAAGTATTTATAAAAATCGTTTTTATAAATTAAAAATATTTTTAAAAATGAGTGCAAAAAATTATATTAAATGTATTAGTACTATTTTTGATAAGCTATTAATAATCTGTGAAATATCCATAATGCCTTTTAAAGCATGATAAATATAAATTTTTAGAAGTACATGAAGTCAATAAAACAAAGCAAACCATTTCTCCTGGCCTCCCTGGTGACATAGGGATTAAATTTCAGTACTACCACTAGGAAGGCCCTCCCACCACAAAGGGCCTGAGTTTGATTAGCACTTAGCCAGGTGCTAATCCACATGCTACCATAGAGCTCTCCTGTCCTGCCCTCAGCAGTGGATTTCAGTCAATCTGCCTGTTCTGCCCCTCACTCTCTCTGAATCCTCTCACCACCCTGAACCAGTGGTCTACACCATAGTTCTACTACATAAAAAAAAAATACAAATCTTACAATAAAGGAATTCTATTTTTTAAAAATATTTTTCCTGCATTTATTTTATTTATATATGAAGCAACCCTAAGAAACATGTGCTAAATTTTTCTGTACCCTTTCAAAAAAAAAAAAAAAAAATCAGCCTTCTACATATTTTGAAACCATAACAGTAAATATTTAGTTATATTTAGAGTATTTAAAGCAAAATATCCAATGAGGTTTTTTTACCTGGAACCAAACTCTCATTGTAAATCCAAGGTGGCATTCTGGGTTGAACAGGATCCTGTGGGGGAAATACTCCCACACCTGGAAGACAAGCACATTGCCTGATGTATACAAGGGTCCATGCAGACATCATAGTCAAATCACTATAAAGTAAGAGCATTGGCAGAAGACGATAAAAAAAGTCACCAATACCTCTAAGATACTTGGTTTCTAAATAACTATTTCACAACTATGTACTCAAGAGCAGATTAAAGAAAAAATTTAGCAAGTCAACATTTTGAATTGTATGTGGCTTGCACCATTTCACATGTACTACAAATTAAAGGAAAAAACAGGCTAGAGGTCAGATGGCAGTTTAAAAATTATATATTTAAAAAACCTTACTCAAACTTTATTTACACTTTTTTTTTGGCAACACCTGATTTTCTTTTTTCACTCAGCATGACAGTGCTGCCTTAGATATACAGAACTTCTGGCTTTTATTTTGCAGAGTTAAATATACTCTGCAAATTTGCCTCTTTAGGTACCCACATTCTAATTCATCTCTGCAAGCTGAGTTTATAAAAATTTGGATCTTTTAGGCAATGATGTTATGATTTTCTTTATAGAAACGAAACTACATTCTCATTGGTGACTTTTCGAGTTAAATCTTAACTTTTCAATCTTTATAGAAGAACAGAAAGTATAAGAAGGGAAAATAGTTTTAAAAAATATGAGGAAAAGAATTTTTAAATCAGGAATGATTCTGATTAAAAAGCTGGTTATCAAAACAATTGTTTTAAAGGGAGTAAGTGTATTGAAAGAATTCAGAGCAAAATCTTAAGGGTTAATTGGAGGAAAAGAATGTATTAAAATATTTTCAGAAAAAATTCAATTAGCAAAATCAAGCAGCATTCATTTTAAGATTAATACTTAAGGTGTTAGCAACGGAGCAACAACTGGTTAAGTGAACTTTTTGCTTAATATTTCATGAGCTCACCACTCTCTTCAGTGGACAGGTTTTGATCTGAAGTCTTTCCTGCTGTAGAGGTACCATTTACACATCCATCTACGGCACCCCCGTTATTGGCTGTTAAACTGGGATGGTTCTTACTGGAACCTGCATATAGGCCTTTGTGCCCAACTTCAGAAGTGTTTAATTTAGTTTGTTCCTGACCAGATGTAATTATCTCACAAGATACTAGGAGTTTCTCTTCCAAAGAAGGGCCTAAACAAACAGCATGAAGGGTTATTTGTATGTAACTTTGTAGTTTTTTATCACTCATTCCCACCAGTATCTTTAAAAGGGAAGACCCTGCCACATATAAATTCTGGTAATTCAATCACTAAGTACTTATACAAGATTTAAACATTATGTATTTTAATTCTCAAGAATTCTATGAGCCAGTAGGTAGAATGGTGTAGTAGAAAAAGTACACCTTAGAAATTTGGCCAGCTATTCCGGATGCGGACACTTCCACCAACTACTGGGGGTCTGAGACCTCTGGCCAGTAAGAACATCTCTGCGTCCATTTCTGCAGGCAACTTTCTTGAAAAAGTTTGGGTGAAAGCACGTGTCTGATAAGATCCCTCTCAGCCTACTCTTCTCAGACAGGGTATGACAACTCTCGCCTCCTCCCCCTCCTCCCCCCCAGTATTTCAAAGGAGGTAAAATCAAAGTACAGAAATATCTGAAGACTTGAGGAAAGATAAACAGTTTAAGCAGAGAATCTGGATTTCTAGCCCATGGCTCTCTCAGCAAACAAGCTGGAGTCAAGCTGCCTTCCCTGGCTCGTATTACCCTTACAGAAATGATGTCTGTGATTTTCCCAAATGAGTAAAATCATTAAGAATCAGTTGCTTTTAAAGTTTGAAGGTGGTTTATATTGTTCCTAAATTTGGAGCCAAAATTCAAATCACTCTTCTGGAATTTAAAAATTCACTTACTTTGGTGAATTTCAAAAGTACTCATATTCACATTTACTAAGGTACATCTTTCTTTGCTAACCTATTATTTTACTTCCTTAAGAGAAGTAAAAGATCCAAGATTATCTTAAGAATGCTTTCATTAACATTCTAGGAGTTATCTACTTTCTGCAGTGTGAGTGAAGCTAAAATAGTAGAAAATAAGGAATCTACCCAGGGAACCAGGTAAGGCAAAGGCACTGGAAGCTGACCTGGAGGCAGAGGCTGGGCTCCAGCCCTCTGCGCATGCAAGTGGCCAAGTGGGGTGGTGGCATGGAAAGATTGAAAAGGCTGGGAAGTGGAAGGCCCACATGAGGGAACTTCAACAGGTCCCTGCATAAAGTCACTGAATTCTTCTTCACCAAGAAAGGCAGGTGATGGGGAGACAGTTTTAGTAGAATGAGATGATGTGGGATAATCTGCAAAATGGAAAATGGCAATGAAACACAGGGAAATGGAAGTCAACAAGGAAAAAGATGTAGTACAATTTCAAAAGAACATACTGAAACATGAGCAGTGGAGGCGAACAAGAAATAACAACAGTCAAGTGGAATTATACAAAAAATGCAAAACACTCTGGGGTCTAGTCATAATTTTCTGTCCTTATAAAGTTGTTTGTTTTTATATTTGGTTCAAAAGCAGAAAAAAAATGAAAAATCACAATTTCTTTTATTAGGCCAGTACTAATTTTTTTTTTTGGACCCCAGTAATAATTCACATCAAACTGGTGATTATTTTTGAAACCCAAATAATCCATTTTTCTGGTTAATATTTTCTCAAGTTAGTATATAGAAAATATAAGAAAACACCTATATACTGCTGAGTAAATTTTGTACAGAGAAATTAGTTTCATTATGTTAATAAGTAAAAATACATGACAGACACTTGAAATTTTTTACATATTATGCCTGACTGTACATCAATCACATTTCAGTAAAGTTACCATATGAGATATGAAAATTACAAAAGACCATTAAACACATTATCAAGGTGATATTTTCTTGTAAAGTGCATCAAAATTGAAACACCAAAAAGGGCTAAGTCATATAGTAGTCACGTTAAAGTAAACCTGACTGAGGACTATGTTTAGAAGAGCTTTGGTTCTAAAGGATATAAACATCACTTATGCAATACACCACCTCTACAGGGGCTATATTCAATACAAGACTCACTAGTAATACAATAGTTGCTGCTTCTTTGTAGTTTTAACTATTTGAATTACTTTAATATTTAACTTAAGTGTAAAGTCACAAGAAGCAGTCTTTTTGTAAACAGAGTCTCAGGCACTGGTGGGAGCACTTGGCAACAGGAGAAGCCCTCACAGGAACAAAAGTTACTGGTTAAGCCTGACCAAGATGACCACCACCCTAAAGCACCAAGAAATCAAGGCAGAGCCCTTGTAGAAAAAGCCAGTGGGGAGCCTTTCAGGGGCTGGTGAAGTCCTAGGCAGAGCCTGTAGGAAAGGGGCTTTGACAAGATCTCTCCGGTCTTTGGCCAATTTCTGGTGCTAAGAAAGATGAGGCCCTCTTCTGCAAATGGCTGAAGGACTCATAATACCAACACCAAGCAGTCCCTGGACTTCCTCTGGTGCCTTTGAGAATGGTGCGATGCCTTCTTGGGATGCCCTCTGAGGCTCCCCAATTCCCCAGCTCTGCAAATTTTGCAGCCGAGTGGGGACTCCTCTGTACTTTACAAAGGACAAGTCTGCTGTTGTACCCACTTCGATGTACTTAAGGGTCTTTTGGGAGTTTTCTTCCCTCGCTGCTTTTTTTGATTCTTGCTCTTGCTTGCTTCTCCCTTCTTCTACGCCTGCCAGTTTCAAGTCAACCACTACGAGCTATTCAGAATGGAATGCTGGGTCCTTTCCTCACCCCACTCTCACCTTCGATCTGTTTTATGCCATGCTGCTCCTTCTTTGGCAGAATAGTCACTGTTCTTGTAAGTTTATTAAATCAAAGTCCATGGCTTTCAAAAAATAAAAATCAAATAAAAAGACTCATTTGAAAAATGAGATAAGTACCACATACTTATCTTTTGGAGTCACAAAATACAACCTGGAAGCATTGAAAGTTCTATAAAATATACCAAATGAATACGCAAAATTAATGCTTTAATTTTATTTTAAAAATGAAAAAAGTTTTCTATATTGGACTCCAACCCTCTCAATAATGGTCACTCAGAGTACTGATATAAGTTTGGATTCTCAGACCAGTACTGGCAGAAAAGAGTGGTACTAGAAAACTGAGGGTTATAGAAATGCTTTTTAAATGGACCCTAACTACTTACCAGCAACAAGACTGCAAAGACCAAACCAGCTTCTTTACATTTGACTAGACTTATGTGGTATAAAATTTGGTTCATAAATCCTTGCAGCTATCTACATATGATTAATAGTCTAAAAATTATATAAAAAGACACTTTGTATTTTAATATACATAATATATGGAGGAAAATTAAAAGCTCTTTGGTGGTAAAAACCTTGGAAATTCTTTTTACATATTTTATCGTAAGACCCTAACTGGAGAAGCTCTAGGAAATCCATGGGCTTACTTCAGCAAAATATTTTCTTGATAAACATGAAGTGGTTAACTGGAAACAACTAACTGCATATGTGCTGAGACAACTCTTTGAACATCAAAATTTTTGATTCAACTTGCTGAATCACACCTGGTCTTCCAAATGGCTATTTAACGCAATAGGAATATTTAACATGACAAATACTATTCCTCTCCAGCTTCTCCTTTTTCTAAGATCCATAGTGGGTTCAGCCTTCCAAAGAAGGTATTCTTAGATTGCTTTAGTTTATAATTTTCACTTTTAGGTAAGTTTTTTCTTTCTGAAATTAAAGCTTGGCATGTATTTTACCTTGGGGCATAGTTTTGGAATGATAAAATTAATAGGATGACATTAAAGCTGTCCCAGAAAGCCAACAACAGGGTACTATGCAAATCTTAGGTTGCTCTCTCTTGACACTTTACCTATGAAAGTACTATAATGCAAGAGTTAAGATAAAATTTATCAATTTAATATGTACTAGCACAAAACAGAATTTTCCTGGTTAGCCAAAAGATACCTAAAAACGGTTGACCTAGCAATGGCATGTTATTCCTGGAATTAGCTGAAAATATAATATCGGTATTTTTTAAAAGTATATATTAACAGTTAAGACAAGAATCATTTCAACTGCTACCAGTTCAAAAACCAAAAGTATCCCATTATGGTGCATTAAATAGACACTTTCTTCCTTAAAGATAATCGATAACAAAACTACAGAGAAATATTTCAAAGAAACTAAAATTTCCTAAGAAGCATTATAAAGCTCATGACTTAAAAAAAGCATTAAAGAATTCCCAAGTTTAACCATATTGAATGAAAAGCAAACTAGATTGTAAAAAGTTAAAAATTATTTTTAGGGCCCTCCCTGGTGACGCAGTGGGTTAAAGCACAGCACTAAGAAGCTTAAACCACTTCCACATGAGTTCGATTCCCGCCTGCCCCGGAGGTTACCCACATGGCGTGGCAGACCTCTCCTGACCCGCCTTCTGCTCCCCTCAGCAGTGTACTTTGTTGATCTGCCTGTTCTGCTCCCCACTCTTTCCCTGGTGAATCCTCTCACCCTCCGCATGTCTGGCCTGTACCCCAGTTCTGAATAAATAAATCTTTAAAAAAAAATTATTTTTAAACAAGGAAAACGAAGTATTAAGCTTTCTTACATTTTCTTTGAATAAATGGATTATACAGAAGTTTGTAAGAGAAGCTGTCATACAGACATTAGAACACAAAGAAGTTTTCTCTCCCAGTCTCAAGTAGTTGTCCAAACCAGAAGCTCCTACTCGCTATAAAGTTTAAATATCCAATTCAGTACTTTGCTTGAAGAAAGAACTCACTGTTCACACACACAAAGCAGTCAATTAAACACAGAGGGACTTTGTCACCTTCCAACAAAAGTTTTAACTTAAACTACCTGGTTTCTTAGGGAGTGACGCTGGAGTGGGGTGCATCTTAGCATCTCTGGAAAATCCATCTAGGTTTCCTTTTATGGCTTCCAAAGCATCATCTCTACTCTTCTCTCCTGTCTAAGAAACAATAAATATAGGCATATTTCTGTACTCTTTTTCTATGTCCAAGATTTCTACCACATACTTCTGACAATGAATTTTCCAACTCAGAAAACTTTAAGTTATAAAGCAAAGGTTTAATGGCATTCCACAGCAGAGATCAAAATCGTGGAAGGCCTATTTATAAATATTTTAGGACACAGCTGTAGACATTAAGTATCCTGCACTAATGTTTCCCAAGAAAAGATTATAGTCCCTATAATTGTAGTGACAAGGTTGAAAAGATAATGGCTAATAGCCTCTTCCCCTCAAACACAACATCTCTGTAGAAAAAGAAAAGTCTTTATTTCAGGACCTACAGCTACCAAAATGAAAGCAATCAACCACAGCCTCAGCCTGGGCTGGTGCCCCCATGAAGAGCCACTGAACACCCTGCAGCACATGTGCTGTGGAGAGCGTAGTGGAATACATTACCTTGGGTTTCACACTACTCAACAGCCTGAGCTTTTGTTTCTGCTCTTCAAACTGGCGCCGTTTTCTTTCTTCTTCTAAGAGCTTCTGCTGTTGTTCAAATCGTTTTCTGAAGGAAAAACAATCTAGTAAAGAACCAGTTTCAGGAATTATCAGCTGTGTTATACTGATATTTCTACTAACAGTGTCAGCCACATTATCTAGCATTTTTAGAACTAAAAATTTCTACTATTTCATTTTCTCATGACAATTCTGTTTTTCCACAATTTAAATTTGAAACATGTTTCAGGTAAAATAAGAGAATTGAACTAGAGAATCACTAAAGGTCACTTCTGGCTTTTCACTTAAATTTATTTTTAAAGGCAACATGACTGTTTCACTTCAGCTCTCCGTGAGAGAATATTTGAAAACTTTTTAAATGACTACTGTCATGTGTCTTTGCTAGCTTTGCATCCTGGATGTCTCTTACTGCTGCTCTTCAGCAAACTGCTTCTGCAAATCTGGAGAGTACTGTGGGCCTGCAGGGCGCATTCCAAGGAATGGTGCTTGTCCCAGGTAAGGCATTCCTGCGGCTGGCATCGGTCCCATCGGTATCCCTGCCTGGGTAAAATAGACAAAAGCTTAAAAAGTAATTTCTCCTTGATTTATTATCAGGGAAAACTGTAACTTCAGTACAACCCTTCTAAATCATTTTTATGAATGAAACTGTCTTAATATCTATTAGTCAAGTATGTTAAGATTGTTGAAACCTGTATCTTTACTGATTGTGGATTTGTCTGTTTCTCTTTGTTGTTCTTTCTGTCAATTTCTCTTTTATATAGTTTATTAATGGAAGACCCACTTTACCATTAGGCTTTTAAAGTTTTCTTACCTTAAAGAATATTTTGTCTAAAGGAACATACCTCAACATGATAAAAGCCATCTACGATAAGCCCACAGCCAATATTATCCTCAACGGAGAAAAACTGAAAGCCTTTCCTTTGAG